TAGCCTTATGTACCTGAAGACTTCCTATAGCTTAAGCAAACGTAATGGCAAGGCTTTTTTAAATTATTTCTAGAGGCATCAAATATCAGGTTTTAGATACGACTAGTGGTCTTTCCTGCAAAGCTCTGATGGTGTAGTATAATAAAGCTACTTTTGCAAATCCCTTTTTGTCATTTTATCAGTAGAACCCTTGGCATCACAATGGGAAAGTATAATTAGATTTTATGATTAAATCCATCAAAAACTGATTGTAGCCCATTAAAATGAACTATGTATATACGTACCGAAACCGTTTTATATCTTTTTAAATATTTCTCTTCAAACTTAACTAGTAGGATTTAAAACCGATATATTATCGTGAGCCTTCCTTTGCAATAGGTTAAATGTGTTGTATTTTACCTTTTTTTTTCTTTGATCTAACTTTTTATTTAGGCCAATTACTATTGGGTCCCATTTCTATGCTAACCTATGTATAACAAATCTATGTCTAAGCCGCAAAGCCCATTCTATATTAAGATTTTTTTAGTAATCAGTAGGCGAAAATTAACGTGTTTATTAATTGTAGGATATGCTTCGTGAGAGGAAAGCTCACCGTGAGGAGATGGCGCAGAAAGAAGAGCTCGAGCGAGAGAAAAAGAGACGAGAGCAAGGTAAAAATATAACCAGCGCCAAAGCGAAATTCGAAGAGGACCAAATGAAGCGAATGGTGGAACAGAAGCGCCGGGAAAAAGAAGATGATAGGCTTTATAAGTAAGGAAATCGTTTCTATAAATTGGCATTTTATTTTTTGCTATAATATCTGTAGGACTAAAATTTATGCTTTGTCCAAATAATTTCAATATCAAATTGAATTCGCCATTTATATTCGGGTAGTATCTGATAAATTAAAAGCATTGTTAGATGGACTTTCATTTCGTATGAAAGTGGATGAAGAGATTCGTTGGTCGATCTCACAAGAGGATGACGGATGACTCTCGTTGTACTGCAGCCCTTTGGCTTTTATACGATATTCATTTTGACGCAGTCCATAAGACTTCCTCCCTCGTTTCGAGTGAAAACGGGCTGAGTTTTCGTCCATCATATGATGGGCATCATTAAAGCTGGGTGTAATTCTTGTA